TATCTATCTATCTATCTATCTATCTATCTATCTATCTATCTATCTATCTATCTATCTATCTATCTATCTATCTATCTATCTATCATCTATCTAATCTCCCTCCGCCCCTTCTCTCATCTATCTCTAGCTAAAGCCGTGGAAGCTCGGTGGTTAGAATGCAGTATTGCAAGCTAACTCTCTGATCACTGCCCATAGTTTGATCCTGACCAGCTCAAGACTGACTCCACCTTCCGTCCTTTAGGTCAGGTCAGTTAAATGAGGACCCAGATTGTTTGAGGGGGGGGCAATAGGCTGCAAACTGCTTAGAGAGGGCTGTAAAGCACTATAAAGTGGTATATAAGTCTAAGAGTTTGGCACTATACAGTCAACATCTTTTATGCACCTTTAACTTCCTCCCCTTTTTCTGAACTATGGCAGTTGGATTTTAAAAAACTATAAAATGTTAAGGTCCCCCCTTCAAATGCTTAACGGATCCATTTAGTTACTCTTTTTAAAGAAAACTGTTGATAATTTTTAGTCATTTGTAACCAGCTTTGGCCTCCGGTATGTGACCACAGTGCCCTCAAAGGGGCAAAGCATCAGCAGCTGGGCTGGCATACCCCGAGTCCCCCCCTCTCCCCCCCCCGGCCAAAATGTTAGCAAAGGGGCTGGGATTTCACAGCTGCCCTCAAATCCCTTCAGGAAAACTTTTCATTTTGATTAGATTGGAGTCTTCTTATCTCAGAGCAAAGCATATTTATTATTTTGCAACATTTCAAAGGGCACTGCGATTTGAAAGATGCAGCATAGAAATATTTAGTCATCTGCAATGCAAGGAAGGCCCTTGTACAAAAACCCAAAAGGTACAGATTGTGTCCGTTATGTTTACACCATTATACACAGAGAAAGTTCAAATATTCATCGAATTTGGAGGAAAGTGAAAGCTCGTCTATTTGTAAAATTTCTGTTGCTTCTGAATCTCCTTCCAGACATTCGTTGGTCGTCTACGACATAAACACAGGACTTTTCTTAAGATATGAAACTTTCATTTATTAATTCAAATGACGTTGTTTGCATTTACAACATTCATTGCATAAACTTGGACATATAAAGTTTTCCAACTCTGGTTAATAACAGACATTTAGGGTACAAGTTATTGGTTGGATACATGTTCAAACAAATATTTGGGTACAACATCTTGTCAATAGTACATAACTTTTTTTTACTTTTTTGTGTATTTTATAGCTACTAAAGACACAGTTCCATTAGCTACTTTGGGTCTCAGAACAGTTCATCTAAAGGGGACAGAAAGCACAGAAAAAGGGGAGAGGGAGAGGGGGGGTGGAAGGAGGGAGGGAGAGAGAGGGGGGGAGAGAGAGGGAGAGAAGGAGGGATGAGTTGCTAGCTGTAATGGTTATACAATCTTTACACACAACTCTCTTTTCATTAAAAAAAAAGAATCAAACTCTGCTAGTGTGAATCAACTGTACGCTGTCAAACAACCCCCAGACATTCATCGCCACTCTCTGTGATGTAGGGAAGTGTCCATGCAACACATCAAGAAGAAAACAAAGGCAAAAAGAAAAGAGGGGGAACAAGAAGCCCAGGTAACCCCTAAGGAATGTCCAACAGTCATTGCCTTTCATCGCACTCTGTAACTACAGCTCTGCTATTGGAACATAGGATTGGGGGGGGGGGGGACAACCACCCCAGCTCCACCCTGAAAAAGTGGCTGGAAAGTATTTTTCAAGTGCAGTTCCAGCTGCAAATGAGTAGCATGTTTTTTTATTATTATTTTTCCTGTTGTTTGATAATAGTAGTTTGACATTTGAGAGGTTAAGTTCTCATCTTGCAGTTTTAACTCAGGTCTCATCCTCTCTGTTTCCAGTCTGGCAGCTGCTCCGTTTTGAAACTCCCCTTTTGATTGTTTAAAGTACGTGTCCCTGACAGCCGTCGGCTCTCGGGGTTTGCTGTGCGTGAAGCCTTCAGTCCCATCGCTGCACCCCCCAAAAAGGACTACAACTCGTCAGACCTGATGACGTGGAAAAGGGTGACGTTGTAAAGTATTTGGTGGCCATTGTTCCACGCATAGAGGGCTCGGTCCTTAGGGTTGTAGTCCAGCATGGAAATGTGGGAGTATTTGTTTAGGAACGGGATGTCTATGTACTCGTAAGTGGAGCTGTTGGTCTGGTAAGCGTAGGTCACCTTGGTCCCTCCGGAGTAGCCGTTGGTGACGTACAACGTGCCGCAAATGATGAAGCCTTCGCCGGCACTGCGCTTGGGGTAACTTGTGTTCCAGGTCTGAAGGCTCTGCAGGGTGTTGGGGTCCAGCTTGCTGATCACAATGTTCCCCGCGTTTTGGTTGGTGGCGTAGACGGCCCACAGCCCATTCTCGTCCACCATGAGGTCGATGTCTGAATGGCCACCCCAGGCGTAATGGTAGACGTTGTTGTAGCCGGCGTAGTCCAAGCTACGGGTTTTGAGGATGGTCTCCGTTTTCAAGTCGAACCGGATGATGATGTGGCTTTGGTATTTGTTGAAATAAATGGAGCCGTTGTAGACCACTTGGCCGGTGCCAGACCACGGGTGGGGAAGGCGGTGAGAGGTGAAGTTATCCGTGTTCATGAAGTCCGACATGGATTTGTACTCGCGGACAAATCGGTTGTTGTGATAACTGTCCATGTACCAGACCTAGGGAAGGGCAGCAGAAGACAGAGAAGCCAAGAGCATTAAAAAATATCTATCCATCTAACGGTTCTGCCATCAAAAGTCAGCAGCTGAGCTTTCTCTAATCTGGGGCCCTCCAACTGTGGGACTACAATTCCCATCTGCTCCAGTCACCGCGTGATTTCACCAGTTGTGAAGTTTAACATCCAACACACACAGAATGTGGTGGCAATGGATAAATACATGAATCACATATAGCCTTTTGAAAGGCCACCTGAGACATATCACATTATAGGACAAATTTAATAAGGTCAACAAGCTGCATTTCTTTCAAAGTTCCCCATAACTTCTATGAAGAATGCAGGTAATGAGACAGTGGTCAGAGTGCAGTACTGCAGGCTCCTTCTGCTGACTGCCGGCTGCCTACAATTTGGCAGTTCAGTTCTCACCAGGCTCAGGGTTGACTCAGCCTTCCATCCTTGCGAGGTGGGTAAAATGAGGACATCCATCATGCGATGGGCCTCTGGGGTTCTGCAAAGCCCTTTGCTCTTTCTGGGGCCGTGCAAAATGGACTGTGGCTCACAGAGAACCCACCGACCTCCTGAATGAGTGGAGTTGTGCTGGTTTGCCAATAACAGAAAAGGGATCCGCTCTCTCAAGGACTCTTACGCACCAGAACTTACTGAGATAATGGAAGTTCAGTTCAATGAGAGGACCAGGGTAAAGAGCTCAGCACTTGACAGAGACTTGCTAGGGCCTGCTGTCTTCAGCTGGTCCTCCATCTTTTGTCTGCCACCCTTTGAGATGTGGCAGGAAAAGATGAACCAGAATTAGCTGGAAACAGGTAGAACAATATGGCCCCACCCTGGAGGCGAGCATCGCAGCGGCAAGCCCCTTAATCTCAACTGTACCTCCAGCGAGGAGGGGACGAGGCAAGGAAGGCCTCTGGCCTCTGCCCCCCCCCCCCCCTGAAGGCTGGCTGCTAGCCTCTCCTACAAGCCAAGATGGGTCAGTGTGAATGACCGAGGGCAGCAGCATTCCCAGGGGGTTTGGACAATGAAGCTTCTCTCCTGGGGAACAATATTCTTGTCCAAGCCTCACTGTTGTGGACAGTGAGGAGGTTGGGGAGGAACCTGGGCCAGTCCTGGGGGCTGAGGGAAGCTCAGGCAAAGGCTCTGCGTGGGAGGCAGAGAGGGGAGCTAGACAGCATTGAGGTGGAGGAACAGCTGGAGCCTGTTCCCAGTGTGCGCATGCGCAGAGCTGCCAGAAGACAAGAACAACCAAGAAAGCAGGGTCAGTTTGGGAGTAAAGCCACACCTTGGAGGTGATTGGCCCCTCCCAGAGGAAACAAAAGAGGAGCAAAGGGGGAGGGGGATTTTGCAGGAAACAATTCGTTCCTTCGATCATTTCAAGAGTGGAAAGTTCTGTTTGTGGCTATAAGAGACTCTGGGCCAAGCATTACCTTGCCCTGCGTTTGGAAACTAGTTATCTGGCAGCTCTCCAAGCGGGATAAGGTTTGTGTGGATAAACATTCCTCCGAAAGGAAGCCTGGGTCAGAACACTTATTGCCCTGTTCACAGCATCTAAGGCAGGCAGGAGAAAACGACCCTACCTTGCTTTCACCCTCGGGAGCCAAGGGGTCCGTCATCCAGGAGCCGAACCTTGAACCGGAGGTCTTTACGGTGATGGGATCGCTTATTGCAGTCAATTTCCCACACGCTGCAAGATAGTGGAACACAACAATAGTAAGAAAGTCCTGCAATTCCCTCCCCACCCCCCACCTTATGGCCTGCATCATCCTGGGTCAAAAATGTGCAGATTGTCTTGTCCTGGGAAAGAGGCTTCTGGTGTTTTCTAAATCAGATCTGCGATGCTTTCCCATTTCTTTGGGTGGTAGTTTTGAGCTCAGAGTATTCTTAGCTAGCCAGAAAAATGGCTGAGATTCTGAAACAAGTGAATTGGGGGAGGGGAGATTGCATAGTTGTAGGATGTGCTGTTGAGGAACTCTTGGTGTGCACAGAGAACCCATTGATAGAGGAAAATAGCTGCCTCCTTGTATAGGTAAGAAACAAAGCCAGGACAGCTGCTGCTTGCCATGGAATAGAGGCGAATCTGTGCAGAATAACAAGAGCTGAAAGGGAATTTGGAGGTCTTCTAGTCCAGCCCATTGTTTGAGCAGGAGACCCTACACTGTTTCAGACAAGTGGCTGTCCAGTCTCTTCCTAAAAGCCTCCAGTGATGGAGCACCCACAACGTCTGGAGGAATCTGTTCCACTGGTTAATTGTCCTCACTGTTAGGAAGTTTCTCCTTAATTCCAGGTTGTTTCTCTCCGTCATTCAATGTCTATGGAGATTCTCAGTCATCCAGGTCATGGTTGTCCCAATGGTGCTTTTTTCCCCCAAGAGGCAACTGTATTTTGACACCGATAAACCTCCAAGTGGCCTCAAGGACCCTCTAAAAGGATGCAAATGACCAGCTGTCTGCAAGAAGTATAAATCCTTCCATTCTCCACCATCCAGTCAGAGCTGAAGAAGCTTCTGGGATGAGAAGTGAAACATTTTCAAACAAAACCCAGAAAGTCCAGTTGCCTCTTGGGGGGAAAAAGGCACCTTTGGGTCTCTCCTTGGTTAGATTCCATCCATTGCTTCTTGTCTTGCTTTCTGGTGCTTTGGAAAATAGATTGACCTCCTCCTCTTTGTAGGAGCCTATCCAATATTGGAACCTACAGGTAGCCCTAGAATTACAATGGTTCATTTAGTTCTCTGCCCCTCTGTGGCTTCTTTGCTTTCTGGTCAGAAAAAGGTCCTGGGGAGAAGTCCTTCTGGTTGCCGAGAGGAGGCCACAGGCGGCTGGATAGAAGAAGCCGCAACAAAAGGCAGGACTTGTCTTTGGCGCCTCCTTCCAAACAGGTGCAAAGACCTCCACACTCCATCAAAGAGATCCTTGCCCAAAGTGTGCCCTTCACAAAAGGTTAGCATCACCAAATGCCAGAAATGGAAGGCAGAAGACCACCTGGCCTCGGTCTGAAGGCCTCCCTTGAAAGTGAAACTCGCCACTTCTGGAGAGCAAGTTCTTCATTTCGAACATAGGGACAGCTATACTTTATAGATTTCAAATATGATTTTAAATGTTTCCTTCAATGGAAGCCGGCAGCTATCAAGGAAATCTCTCCTGCGTGTCCCTTTCACAAGGGGACCTGTTCCATCTCAGCAGCCATGCACAAAGAGAGATGCTTTCATACATCTGTTGGGATGTATGACATCTTCTAGTATGACATCACCTCATGCACAATCAAGAGCAGAAAGCTGAATTTATTAATGTATTTGGTCTTAGACATTAGGATTTGATAGCTAAATTCAGCTTTGTAGCAATTAGGAAGAACTGCATCATATTTCTGAAGACTCAGAAATATATAAGGCCCAATTCACAATCATATAGATATCTGTTGGGCATCTAATTACAATTTGCTAAAAGCTACCACATTGAGAAGTGACCAATAATTATTATGGACTCTGCTTTCGGATTAAAAGAACTTCTCCATCCTTCTATCTTATCAGGAACGTCTCCTCCAATAAATAAATAATAATTGTAAGTTCCTTGGATCTCAGATGAGTTGACAAAGACCCATCATGGTTTTGAGATGTTTCTGTTTATCCCCATGCTTGAGAAAAATGGGCTCCACCAATTATGGATTGCTGTTAGAACAACAGTCCAAGAAAGGATGTTTTCAGTGGGCATGGATAGGTGAACGTTGACACATAATATAATAAGTTGCCATCCATGGATTAGAAGACCTCCAAGTCCCTTCCAACTCCGATGGGCTATGATGCTATGATTCTATGATTCATTTTGGGGCTATCCAGTCTTGAAAGTGAAGTGGCAGCTCTCTGGAACCAATCTGGGGGTTGTGGTAAGAGATATATATTCCCTCCTCTGGTGTCAGCAAGATCTATAAAAAGTTGTGGAATCCTGGTCTGATTTTTAACTTTATCTTTAACAAGCAATTGATGTAAAATTCCAACACTGGAGATTGTTAAGAAGGGATTGGACAATTGTTTGTCTGAAATGGTGTAGGGTTTCCTGTTTGAGCAGGGGTTGGACTAGAAGACCTCCAGGGTCCCTTCCAACTCTGTTATTCTTTTGTATCTGTAACTTTTAAATGGGCAAAACCTTTTGAACCAATGTATCTCAAATGGGCTAGCTATCTGGGACCGATGACTTTAGTAGAATAGAAATTTGGCCAACATTCTAAAACTGCTGTGAATTTTAAACAATTATAATTTTACCATCAGCATTTGATGGCATAATACAAAATGTCGTACAATGTTTCCTGTGGTCCCACTTCCGGTGTTTGTCTGTGCTATTAGGTTCAGCGGGGGTACTTTCAAGGCAGATGCACTCTCTGAACTTTAAAAGAACTTTTTGAGTACATTGGAAGTTCTGCCACCGAGAATTCTGATAAGGGGTCACATGGAGCTTGGCTGGTGAACCACAAATGTAAACTGCACTTCATAGGGGGCTTCCCACCTCCAAGAAAGTACCAGAAAGGGAAAAGATCGCCTGCCATCTCCTACCTACTTACCTGGCATAAACCTTCGCAATACTTAAGGCTTAGTTCTGATTGAGCTTTGGTGGCATTGTATCTCTACAGGTGCTGCTTTCCTGTTCTGGCCCACAACCTCAGTGATATCCAGCAGAACTGGAAATCCCATGCAGGAGGCCCACTGGAGATCATTTAGCTCGCTTGATTTCTGGCAAGAAAGGCTCTGTCCCTCCCCTGATCCATTTAATGGGACATTTCCCCTCGAGAGAGAGATATGTCAGCTAGTCCTGGCACAGACCCTGCCCCACAACTCTGGAACGTTGCCCTGACTTTCCCAACGGAGCCCTGGGTGTTGGACCGAGGGCTTTCCAAGCAGTGGATTCCCAAGTCAGCCGGTGATCCTGTTTCTGGGGAGGTGGGATCACAGAGAATCTGAGAGAGTCTGAGGGAGACGGGCACTTTGGAACTATGAAATGTAAAGAACTACAGTAGATCAATAACTAAATAGGCCTCCCAGTCACCCCCAAAACTTGGGGATTTTCATCGCCCAAGAAGTCAGGGTGGCTTCACCAGGTACACTTCAGAGGGCTTCTTCAGGTTGCAGCAGGGCAGTGGTTTTAATGATGGGTGTTTATGTTTGCAGCCAGTGTATTAATCTTATCTCTGCATCCCCCCCCCCCCACTGGTAGCTCTTTGGAGCCTTGTTTTTTGTTCTTGTTTAGATGTTAGCCGGAGATTTACTGCTGACGGTGTTTTAGAACAGCAGGATAGAAAAACAGGGCTGGCAACAGTATTTAGACTCCGGGACTTGCTGGGTTTGGAATCTTGGCTTGTGACACCTGGACCCTTCCCAAGCCAGCTAAAAGAGGGTAGATGTGAGCTTGCATGGAGCCCAAGATCTCTGTTTCCACATATTTTTCCTACCCCTTTTGGTCAGCAGTGTCTCATCACCCCTCCCTTCCCCATGCACATTCCAAATTGAAGGTTACTGCCACTGTGGTCCTCCTGAAAAGATCTCCCCCCACAAGGTTGCCCTTGGGTGGCAGAATGGCCCTGAATCTTCCATCCGTCCGTCCGTCTGTCTGTCCATCCTCTCTGATGTGCCTTGCCCATTTGTCTCCCCTGACCTCTCCCTTACGGGGGACTCAACCCAAGGGCCACAGGGGCTACTTCCTCTGCCCCCCCACCCCAGGTTGGCAGGCTTGAAGTGGGGCCCTCTGGGAGCCGGGGCTGAACTCTGCTGTGGCAGGGCACTGACTGAGTTTGGGGTGGGGTGGGTCATGGGGTGAGGAAGGCGGGGGAGGGCCCATCCCTGCAGTCCCTGGCCAGCCCGGGTGCCCGGTGGGAGCAGAACAGCCCAGAGGGTGAGGACACCCTGCCCCTCGGGGGCCGGTGCGTCTCCTACCTAATTTCTGCATGCATGCCCGCAGCCTCTCTTCAAGATTTGAGACTCTGCTCTGGAGCTCTTCGTAGTCAAAGGCGCCAATTTCCTCCTGGAGCTCGTTCAGAACCGACGTCAGGTTCTGCACCTCCTCTTTAAACTGCAAAACCAATTTGGCATCGGCCTTGTACTCCTCCAAGACTGGGATCAAGGGCCTAAGCTCCTCCATTTTCGCTTTTATCGCCTGCAAGGTTAAAATAAGCTTGGTTTCAGTGCTCTGCGCGCAAGAGCCCCCCGCCCACCCAGCCCCTCCTCTCTCTGCACTGGGCTGCTGCTGCTCCCTTCGGGGTGCACCACAAAGGCCGCCGTCATGACTATCATTAATGCTTGTGGGGAGCGTGGAAACTCAAATGGGAGAAATAGATATAGATATAGATATATGCATATATTAAACAGTCTGAAAAACACCATCTTATTTGGGAAAAAAGGCCTTTATTTTGATTTTTTTCTGTTTTTAGAATGCAACATCTTAAGGTTACATGCTTCGGTCACATACACAAATTCTTTTTTTTTATCTTTTCCATAAAATAATGATGATGATCAGGAGGAGGATAATAATAATAATAATAAGAATAACCAACGCATTGACAAGGAGTTCCAAAAACTAGTGGATGAAATGTGATTTCTACAAGTTCCATGCAAAAGACAAGCTTTCAGCGGAAGTGATGCTGGGAAGGTCGGGAATTGGAAAGAAAGAAAGAAAGAAAGAAAGAAAGAAAATAAACAAAGCAGAACCAGAGAAGAAAGGACCAAACTCAAAGGGGGTGGGGTAGGGGGTGGAGGGAAAGCTCTCTGCCCTCTGTGTGTGTGTGTGTTTTTCATGGTTACATGTGGGGTGGGGGTGGGGGGGGGATGAACACCTTCTTCAGCCAGTGCGACATTGTAAAACTTTCTTTTAAGTTAGCCCTGCAAGCAAGAAGACGAAACGCTGAAGTCCCACAGGGTTTACTCAGAGGTTAACACAGTTTGCATCCCAGCCGTGGCCCTGCTGAGCCACCCCTCCCCAGAGACTCCCTCCCCCCCACCCCCCAAGGATGATGCACCACTAAAGGGCTTGACGGAGAGACGGGGGATAGGAGCTTCTGGCCATCCCCCCCCCATCCTCTCAGCTGCCTCCCTTGGCATTTGCCGCCTTGCCCTTCACCCAATCCCCCCCCCATTGCCAGGAAGCCCCTCTGCCCTTGCTGACCGCATGGTGGCCCTGCCATGGAAAGGAGGGGAAGCGTCCCCCCTTTCCCAAGATCTCCAAGCAAGGAGGCGGGGCTCCAGGCTGCCAGGGGAAGCTCCCCGGATCTCTGCCTTGGGCCAGGCGCCGCGGGAGACCGCCTCTTTAGCAGGCGGAGGGGGGAGCGGAAAGGGAGCCCGCAGGGCTTCACCTCACTTTCTCTCTCTGCAGGGGAAGGGGATTATGAGGGGACCCCCTGTGAGAGGCGCAAATGATTCTGGGAGAGGAGTCAGCGTTTGTGCCTAGGGTAGCCAAGAAGGAAAGGGAGGGAAGGAGGGAGCCCTGTTTCAATGAAGGCAGAAGCTTCAGCAGGCATCGCCTGGGCAAAGGCAGAGAGAGTCCACACCAACTTCTGCCTCCTGAGCCTGGCAGGCCAAGGTCAAGGGACGATCATGGGAAAATCTTTTGGCTTCTTTGCTTCATTTGCAGTTTTAGTCTTCTCTCCTTCTCTCTCCTCTCTCTTCTTTCTCTCTTCTTCTCTCACTACTCTCTCTCTCTCGCATCTCTTCTTTCTCTCTCCTCTCTTTCCACTCTCTTCTCTCATTCTCTTCTCTCACTCCTTTTTCTCTCTCTTCTCTCTCTTTTTTCTCTCTCCTGCCTCTCCACTCTCTCCTCTCCTGTCTATTCTTTCTCTCTCTCTCACCTTTCTCTCCTTCTCTCCTCTTCTTTCTCTCTCTCTCCTCTCTTTCTCTCTCTCTCCTACCTTTCCACTCTCTCCTCTCTCTTCTGTCTCTTCTTTCTCTCTCTCTCCTTTCTCTCCTTCTCTCTCACTCTCTCTCTCCTCTTCTCTCACTCCTTTCTCTCTCTCTCCTCTCCTCTATCTTCTTTCTCTCCTCTCCTCTCTTCTTTCTCTCTCTCTCCTGCCTTTCTACTCTCTCCTCTCTCCTGTCTTCTTTCTCTTCCTCCTTTCTCTCTCTCTCCTTTCTCCACTCCCTTCTCTCTCTCTCCTCTGTCTCTCTCCACTCTCTTTTCTCTCTCTTCTTTTTCTCCCCTCTCTTCTTTCTCTCTTCTTTCTCTCCTCTCTCTTCTTTCTCTGTCTCCTCTTCTCTCTCTCTCTCTCCTCTCTTCTCTCTTCTCTCTCTCTGTCTCCTCTGCCTCATTCAATCTGATAAAATGGATCTTGCTCCGCAGGTTCTTTCCAAGGGAAAAGCCTTCACGTGTGGGATGGAGGTGCCTGCTCTTGCATGACTCCCTGGTCTGCAACCTCCCGGGCTTCCTTCCCTCTCCTCCCATCTCCAGCCCTCTGAAGGCCTCCAAAAGGAAGATGGGTGGCATGGGTGCTGCCACGGTCAATGCCAAGGGCTTCTCTGCTGTGGAGAAATCACCAGGAGGAGAAACCCTCTTCCCTGAAGAGCACAGAGCCGGAAAGGGCCTCTGATCTATGATGAAGCTGCCCACAGCCCCATTTCTCCACCTGGAAACAATTCTGGAAGGCCTTTCTCCCCCCGCCCCCAAGACTGATTAATTTTGCTTGGAACACCAGCAAATAAAAAGCCCCTCACTCAGCTGAGAATGAGCAAAACGAAACAGTCTCTTTGGACACACGCACGCACACACGCACACACACACACCTGTTAGGAGTTTCCCTCTAGAGCCTTCCCACCAACCTGTTTCTGCACTGTGGTCAGGGACAGGTTGGGGAAGCCTGAAAAACAGTTCCAGAAAGCACCTCCTCCAACTACAGGTCAAATGATGCTGGACATTGAAAAATAAAAATGAAACAAGCTGAGCAGTTTCATTTGGGGGTGGATGGGCTCTTATTGACCCCGTAATCCCTTGCATCAGGGTAGAGTCAGGGCTGTGTTTACTGGCCGGATGCCCTTCCTATCACCAATGCAGAGTTCACAGCAGATATTTGACTCATTATGCCCAGAGAGAGAAATATCTGCTGCTACCTAGGATCAAACTCACAGCCTCCTGATTGGGGGGTGGGGGAGGGGAGAAGGCAAGAGAGCAGTTTCATAATTGAACTAATTCTCCAGAGGAAGGGTGGCCCCCTCTTCACTGGGAGCCACCCTTCATTTCAATCCACTGGGACACTGGACAGCCATCTCTGAAGGATGCCTGAATTTAGGGCATTTTCATAGCATTCCATTGGGGGGGGGGGTTCCAAGTACCATCAGAAGACCACTTTGATGAGAAGCTCAGACTGTCCCAGCCCCAGACAGAAAAACCCTCATTTGAAAGAACACGAGGGGCAGGACATTCACACATGACATTCATTCGTAGCTCAGAAAAGCCATTGGTCAATGGAAGCGCCCAACTGGAGACTCAAAGCCATGGGGATCTTCCCATTTGGCTTCCTACACTGAGCTGGGGGTGGGTTGGGACGTCTCCATGAGTCCCTTCCAGCTTGAGAATTCCATGTATGATATGAAACTCCCAGTGAGAGTTCGAAACTGGGAAGGGCCTCTTTCATTCATTACATCAGTTTCATGGACCTTAGCAAATTCCAGACCTGTGCTTTTGTGGGTACGGAGGAGAAAGATCTATTCAAGTTCAGTGAAGGCAGGTGGAGAGATGAAAGATTTTGAGGGACAAAATTTTAGGGGGAGATAGAAAAATAAGGTTATTAGCTAAATGTCTATGGAGGTTCTCAATCATCCTAGTTGTCTCAAACATGCTTCTTCCAAAAGGCAAATGGACTTCCTTGGTTTTTCTTCTTCTTTGCCTAGACATTTCAAAGCTTCTTGGGTGAGAAGTGAAATGTTTCCAAACCAAGGAAGTCCAGTTGCCCTTTGGAAAAAGCACCTTCCAACCTGGGTTACTGGGTTTGTGTTTTCCCCCTTTGGAGTCAACTGCTTTAATGACAGCCAAAGGAGTGGATTTTAGCAGGGAAAGTAGATTTAAAATGCTGAGAAGGGGGGGGGGGAAATGCAGCCCAACAGTCTGACCCTTGGATTTCAAAAGTCGTTCAGTTCATCCCAAGCTTAGGGATTCCTCGATGCCTTCAAAGCAAAGGAAATGGAGGCTTCCTGGAAACTCTCACTGACTGCAGTGGAAATTAAAGTCCATTCTGCCTCTGCTGAGCTTCAGCCACCATTGTTGTGAGCAAGAGCAGTCCTGCAATGGGAGGGGAACCCAACCCTTCTGAGATACCCCCCCCCCAGTTGGGAAACGGTGCCTAAGAGACCCTCAGCCTTCCCCAAAAATTCTGCCAAGAAGGCACTTCTTTCCTTCCTGGGCCCAAGAGGTCTACTTACCTTAAACTGTCTGGCCAGGTGTTGCTTGTGACTCTCTTCCACTTGCTTGAACTTGGATTCCAAGCCTCTCATCTGATTTTCCATTTTCTCCACATACTGAAGATCCCGTTGAGTTCGCCTGTCCAAGACTTCTATGGACTGGGACATGTTCTGTACCTGTGGAGCAATTGGGTGCGAGAGACGGTGGGGGAACCAAGAGAGAAGAAGTCATTAAAGTAAGAGAGACTCAAAGGGGAGATTGACAAAAGATCTCTTTGCCATCATCAAGGAAATCAAGAGCAGAAATAACAAGTTGCAGCTACCTAGATTTCATTTTAATTGAAGGAAGAACTTACTGAAAATAATAATTGTCCAATAGTGGAACTGTCTACCTAGGGAGATGGCAGATTTTCCAACTCTGGAAGTTTTAAAGAAGTTGGACAGTCACCTCTTGGTAATAGCTTAATTGATTTTCCTGAACATGGTAAGAGAGTCATTCAACGATTCTACACAATATGGGTAACACAATATGTGCAATACAGATTGTAGAAAATGGCTTGAACCTTCCATGGTAAGATAGCAATAGCACTTAGGCTTATATACCACTTTATAGTGCTTTACAGCCCTTTCTAAGGTATTTACAGAGTCAGCCTCTTTCCCCCAACAATCTGGGTCCTCGTTTTACCCACCTTGGAAGGACGGAAGACTGAGTCAACCTTGAACCTGGTGAGACTCGAACTGCCAAACTGCAGGCAGCCAGCAGTTAGCAGAAAGAGCCTGCAGTACTGCACTCTGACCACTGCGCTACCATGGCTCACGGAGACGGGGAAAATAGCAACCAGATTTGTAGCTCAGTAAACTCAAAGGCTGCAGTTGTGCCCTTCTTGGTCTGCTTGTAAGCCACATGATACTTGTTTACTCTCGAGTAGAAACACAGTAAAGCCTTCACTTAGATTGGAGGGACAGAAGGACAAACGCTGGTGAAATGACAAATGAGATTTTGTGCACATCATTGCTGGGTAAAGTTGGTCACTCTTTGAAACCGAAGTGACCTCTGTTACAACAGGTCAGCCAATTGAGTTCCATGAAACTGAGGGTTTGCTCTAGGCCAGCGATGGCCAAACTTTTTTGGCTCACATGCCATAAGGGGGGAGTGCAGGGGGGGCGTGTGCGGGCGTGCCGCACACATAATGCAACATGCAACCCCTCCAGTGCGCATGCACGCATGAGAGGCACGACCCCCCCATTTTTCCATGCTTTTTTCGCCCGCCCCCCGGCTCCGGAGGCTTTATAGGAGCCTGGGGAGGGCGAAAACAGCCTCCCCCACCCCCCAGAGGCCCTCCAGGGGATTAAAAAGGACCCTACAAGCACACCGGATTTCCAGTTTGCTTGGAGGGTGATTTTTAGTCCTCCGGAGCCTTCGGCAAAGCTCCTGAAGACTCCGAAGGGCCTCGGGGGGCGGGGGAGGTCCTTTTTGCCCTCCCCAGGCTCCTATAAAGCCTCTGGAGCCTGGGGAGGGTGAAAAATGGCTTTTAAAAAGGCTGAATTCAGCATGCCCTGACAAATGACTCCATGTGCCACAGCTTTGCCATCCTGGCTCCAGGCAAATGTAGGTGTGCTGTGGTTACTCAATGCAGCCAAAGAAAGTCTGGCGGAGGTCAGGTTCTTTTTGTAACAGTTATATTATTACAATGATGTGTGTGTGTGTGTGTGTGTGTGTGTGTGTGTCTGTGTGTGTGTATCATCTAATAATGCTACAATTTACAGGTGGGATGCTGGATGTCAGGCCAGATGGGGGATTGTATGGAGTATGGGAGATATGGAGTCTAAATAACATTCCTTTCTCAGAGAGTCAAGGACGTCTTGCCCTGCACCTGGAGTGGCGTGACTGGGAGGCATCTCCAGTTTTGGATGGTGCCTGATTGGATCATGGGATGGACATCTGGGTGCTGGGCAGGGACTGGAACTTTCTTTCGGGTGGGGAAACCTGGAAACTTTCAGACTCGGTTTTTCCCAAATGTGCCCAAATGGCATCTCTAATAAAGTGGAACTTTGAGGAAACTCAAGTTTAGAGTCTTCTTTCGTTAGGAGTGTTACTTGGAGCCCTGACACTGGAATTCATTCATTCATTATTGGTTTTATTTATAAGCTGTCTAATCCAGAGGTATCTTACGGCAGCATTTAAAAAAATGTAAAAACATATTATGTAAACTGCACTGGAAATTAATCAGTAATGAAGAAGAAGAAAAAACAAAAACACCCCAGAGGAATAGAAGCAGAATTGAACAAGACTCTGCTTTCAGATCCTACATGGTCCCAGACAGAGCTCTGCTGGAAAAGCAGAGTTTAAAAGCTTTCTAGAAAAACCACAGGGTTGGTGAGGGCGGTATGGACTAGCAGGGAGGAGTCTGCTACTCCAAAGAGTAGCAACACGCCTCTCAG